GACAGTCAATTTATCCGGATGATTGTCAGGTTCGGCTTCTTTTTATTTTTTGCCGGCTAGAGAGCACATGACTCTCGAGTGTAATTTGCTTTTTTTCAGGTTTTTTCCTCGATTTTCTCAGCCCATAGGCCGTTTTAGGAGATTCTGAGCCACCTATAAACTAGACTCAACAGGCTCTCTACAGATTCAGTACAGATCATCAATTCATTCCTATCTTCCTCCAAATACACAAATTACCATACTCGTCAAATAAAGTCCATTGGCTTTTTTTCCGCTTCACGTACCATTATTATGGTACCTGTCCGACAGGGCCGGAGGTCGGATAAATTTAGGTATGGTATATCCAAGGATATGCGTAGACACTAATCCATCAATTAGTGGAGCTTGCGTTAATAGTGGTTTTACTACCTTGAACGTAAATCAATGTAGTGCTGTAGTATAAAAGTATGAATGCGGGATCGTATCCGGATCAGTTAGTGGATCGAAGACGACAACCACAGCAACAACAACGCGGACCGGGTGTGTAAAAACGCATCCGATAGCAGAACCCGGAAAATTATTTGTTTGAAAGTCGATTTGATCATGCATGATTATCGCCCCGCAGCTTGATACCTCGTAAAAATCCATACAAATGTTACAAAATACACATGGATTCATGTATTGCATAAGGTCGTGTGTGAAACACAACACACTGACATGAATTAATTTAGTTGGGCAGTACGTTTCTTCGTACCGAAGCACTACCAGTATAAAAGCACGAGACCACTGTCGAATGGCGTTACCGCAACCCATAAACGGCCAGGCGAAGGGAATTGTTGCAACCTTAGAGTCTTAAGATGACCACAAGAACAGCTGCTCGAGTATTTAATAATATTTTACCTGCGCTCGAGTCTGAGCTTGATATCCACTGTCTCAATTTAGAGACACCGAGGATGGTGCGCAGACGTCGCAGACGAGTGCGACACGTATATACTAGTGTACCACCTAGAGTTTGTGTACCCCTCTTTTGCATGTACCGTTACATTTTCAGCACTTAGCGGATATTTGGAGAGACCGCTCGGAGAAGCAAGGATGAGCGAGACCAGGCTGACTCGTGAGTTGGCGAGTGCACGATTAAAGGACCTCGCTGAGATGAAGAAAAGACTGGACAAGATGCGCGTAAGCCTGGAGAAGATAACGGAAGTCCAGATCGAGTGTCTAGCACGTATTGAAGAGGAAGAGGAACCTAGCTATCAGTTGGCGGCAGCTTTGATTGACGGAGATGGTGTTGGCGATGGATTTCTATCGTTCGGCATACTTCTGGAAATGGCAGTGAACAGACTGACGCAGTAATGCAGACAAAAGATCTTCATCGAGAGAGTAATACAGTCGATCGATTCTGCTTAAGCTCATCCTGCAACCTTTGGAGTATATTGGTTGCCGAAGCAGCATCACCTTCCGACATAGCTCGCTCCTTCGAATGCTACATGATAACCCACAGCATGCGCAAGCGCATAACGTTCACGTCGTCCTTGGAGAATCCATACTTCCGCTGGTCCTCATATCAAAAAAGTAACTGTGTGCCAGAGCTACGATTAGTACACTGCAACTTGCTGCATCAGGTTGTTGAGGTGTCTGGAGCCACACAGGTTTGTCAACGACAAACTCTACATCATCTGGCATCGAGGCTTTGTGCCATCATTTCTGGAAGCCACAAATACCCTCCTTTCTTTTGCTTTCTGGGTCGTTCTTGTCTATCGGTATGCCCCCCAAACGGTACGCATTCCATCGTGTTATCGATTAAAGGCTCGTACATGTAAACATGCGCCCGCAACACCGGGTCAATTTTAGCTTGTAGATGAACCATTATGATTCCCCAATGGTTTAAGCCCAGATTCACCGCATGCAGAATGAACTTGGTGCGTACAAGTGCCGCTTTCGGTATAGAGGGCCATCCAACTATCCACAGGAAAGACGAGACACGTAGTGATATCCCACTACACTCCCGAGCATACGCAACCAGAAATCGATGTGGCTGTCAATGAGCCACCCCCGACACAGCCCTCCCAAAATGTTCTCGAAAGTGATCGTTCCGTTTCCAGACAGCGCCACAAACTCCGTGAGTAATCTGCTCGAAGCCAACTTTGCAATAACCTCGTTGACCAACGTCCCACACCCATGAAGTCAAACTTTGTTCATACGATGTCACATCTGCCTGGTTCGCGAACTCCTCCCATTCCTTTTTCACCTTCTTCAACATGTTGTTCGATAATCTGCTCGCCTCCGCTCGCAAGATCAAAGGAACTGTTCTCGGTAGCCGTGATGAGGAGTGCTCTTTATCCAGCTCCGACACAATTTGCTGCGTAATTGCCTTCTGATGTTAGAGTAGGCCTGCAATCGTCTTGTCGATCCTCGTCTTCATACCAAGCAGCATTTTCAGCTGGTTCCAATTTGACTCGATCCGGTTCAAAATAGTGTTGCCAGCCGTAAAATGCGTGTCACGGGCAAAGTTTGCCCACATGACACGGCAGTTTTTCTCGAAGTAAGCAAAAAGGATAGTTTCTTGTTCACTGTGGAGTACCGCTTGAGCGCTTGGTATTCAGACTTATACCCAATTTTCGTCGCGCTAATGCTTAGATCCACGTGTTAGTTGCGTGAAGAGAAAACAAACAATTCAATGTAAAACGAACCTATTAAGCAGCTTTGTCATCATCTGCAAAAGCTCCTCGCGCTGCGATATCTTAACCCCTCCAGCCCGAAGCCCTGTATTAGACATGATATCAGAAAAGGCTTATCGTGTATATACACGATAATACATTTATACTTAAGTTCTGTATTGAGATATACAAACGTTCTGTCAACTAGGGTAGGGTGTCGGGTGCACAGGTAGGCTTCCTCCCAAGATAAAGACCAATCACTGTGCAAGGGATACAGCTACTTGAACATTAATTGAAATAGGTATTGGGGTGCCAAATTCCTTTCATTGAAAAGTAGAGGTAGTGTGGGCAAGCCACTCGTTGGCTGTCATTCGAGAATTTGCATCGCGGCGACAGAATATCTGGTTTAACGCGGCGTTGGATCAAATTGGTGAAAGAAGGATGGGCTTCCTAGAAGCCTACAGGTTTGGAGATCGATCACACGTATCTGCGCCCTGGCAAAACGAAAAAAAAATACAAGCGCGGCGTGGATTTTTTGTGGGCCCGGACGAGCTCATGCTATATCTTGACGACCTTGACAAGGGTACCCACTGAAGTACACGTATGATGTATTCTGGGTTCTAATTGATAAACTTGTGTGGTAGTAGCTGAGTTGGCGCGACAGACAGCAGAAGTGGAGGCTGAAAATGAGCCTAGCGTGAAAACGAAGCAGTGTTTACACGGTGTAGAAGAAGGTATTACTTGCGATCCTCTGTTATCATGTCCGATACACGCTAATTAGCTGCTGTGCATCATGTATTGGCTGCTTTACGTCAGAACCCGGGGTAATAGAGTCAACACAAGAGCGCCGTCAAAAGGCTCCATATCACACTTCGCAGCTTTAACGACCGCCGCAGGATAAGGTACTATACGATAGCGCAGTTGTCATGTACTTTACAGGCTAATGCTTGATGAGCAACATGTGTCGTGTATACAGTAGGTACCACACCTGGCAGATCCAGACACCGACAGCGGTTGGTGCGGATCTTGATGACAGAATGTACGATACTTTGGGGCTAATGTTGGTTTGTGTGTTGCTATAGTTGATGAAAGCTCTGCGAAAGAACAACGTGACTTGAGTGCTGAATTTGAAGCAGTTGCCTCCAACTACGAGCATCGACAACGGCTCTGTCCCACCTCACCTCACGTTCTCGACAGTGATACCAGCAACGGCTCCTGTGAAGAGATTCCTCTAGCCGTGCTAATGATTTCGAAAACGCAGAGTCAGACACCCTATCCGGTTCAATATCATGTCCATATACACGTTTTGAAGACATGATAAATGGTAATAACATGTTTGTATTAACGTTACATGTATCAATATTACAAAGCCCGAGAGTTCTTCGGTAAGCTACGTCGTACTTGATTCCGATGGAGAAGACGACGATGGGTTTTTCAACGAAGATGGGCTGTTCGGGTTTGATTCACCCAATAAATATTTTGATCAAGATGAAGAGGATATTCCGCCTACCGACATCTCATTCGTTGACGCACTGCTTGCAGCGGTGGGCGGAATGGCGGGTCTGACAGTGGAGAATCTCAGTCGGAAGTAAAACGCTGCTGTGCTTGATAAAATGGCTGCATCTGGGTGGCGTGGTGCAAGGACACAACTACCTTACCCGAACATGGAGGGACCTTACGACACTCGTTCGCCTAACTGGCTGCATGAAGACTATCCCCATCTTTTTGACGGAGCGTACGGCAACACTCCAGCGGCATTGGCGGCAGCAACTACTGCAGCGAGCGCCCTATTCTACTTTATGACCCGACGACTGTGGGAAGACATTACCGCAGAAAGCGAAACTTATTTCTTTGAGAAAATGAAAGAGAGAGAGAGAGAGAGTTACGACACAGTATGATAAACCAGTTGCACGTGAGCGTAAGAAACCTGGGTTCCGTCGTCAAACGCCCGATCAAATTCGCAGAGTCGCCCCCTTATCAGGGGAAGGGACCTCTATGTATTTATCGGGTTGCTAGTTGCTCGAACGATTTGCCCTAACAACGAAAAGTTGCAACATCACTGGAACACTACAGATGAGGGCGCCATACCACGGAGTTGCTTTGGGCATTTCATGTCGCGGGATCGTTTTGCCCACGTTGCTAGGAATCTCCATTCTTAGCAGCAACGCTAATCCTCATGCGGCTATTGACCGTGCCTGGAAAGTGCGACCAATCGTAGAAGCTCTATAAGAAACATTTCAAGCTGGTTATATGCCACCTCCGGTAATGGCTTTCGGCGAGGTCATGCTGCCGTCGAGGTCATCCGTCAACCGGATGCGCGTGTATATGAGGGACAAGCCTCATAAGTATGGCACCAAACTGTTCATGCTGTGCTGCTCCAACATAGCATACTGAATTCAGTATGTATCTGGGCGTGTCGACTGACGCTCTCTCTTTTTTTAAACTCAAAGTCATTTATCGTGTCTAATACTATTTGATGCGTGTGGTATTGTGTACAATACAGATTTGAGGTTTACTTAGGCAAGGCCGGTAGAGCAAATGGCAAGGCACTACGCGACGAAAGGACCGAGCCTGTGGCTGTTGTTCGCAACCTGCGCGCAGCTTTGGGGGATCTGCCACCACAACAAATGCGCCTGGTAGTCATGAATCGCTTCTACACTTCGGTCTCGCTTGCCATGCTGCTGCTAACACTAGGATATTACAGCGTTGGGATGGTGGTAACAACCCGTAAAGGGCTAGCTGCACAAATTGTTCCTGACAAGAAAAAGAAGAAGAAGAAGAAGGAGAAGAAGAAGAAGAAAAAGGTACAGTCGCGGCCTGCAGCAATCGACAGTGGAACATTCACCTTCGCTAAGTCAAGCCTGGTGTCTGGCATGAAAACAACCAAATGGTGGGACAACCGCCCTGCCTACCTTCCGTCTACTGGTGGTAGCACCGACCTCGATCGTAGCGTGCGCCGAGCGAAGAGTGGTGTGCAAGAAGAAGTGGCTTGTCCAAGGCTTATAAAAGACTATCAAACCTACATGGGCGGTGTAGATGTACATGACCAGCTTCGTTTCCAAAGGTAAATTGCTATGCTATCGTGTATAGTACTGGGTTCACTTATAACGAATGGTATATATTACATGCTACTACTAGGTATTCACTCCAACTAGCGGTGCGATTAAAAATACTACAAAAGCCTCTTTTTGGGCTTTGTTGATCTGGCGCTCATCAACGCCTTGATCGTGTTCAACCATGCTCGGACGGCCGCCAACCAGGCGAAGCTTTCCCATATCACCTTCATGAAACCGCTACAACTCGAACTTTACCAAATCTGTCCCCGGGACTGGGAGGAGTTAGTAAGTTCACCCGAGCCAAATTTCACGCCAACGAAGCAGCGCGTAGCTGCAGCTGCAAGGCACATGCCCATTCAGACCGAGGACAAGCGCAAAGACAACACGGTGGGCAGCACGAAGCGCAGGCAGAGAGCTCGCAAAGTCTGCTCTCTTCTGAAGAAAAAAATTACAGGCGGGGACACATCCTTTCAATGCAGCAACTGCGAGTTTAAAATCATCGACCAGAAAACCGGCGAGACCAAGGCGTCCCCGGTGTACCTTTGCAACAAGGTGAAGCATGCATTCAATGGGCAAGCGCGTACCTCTTTCGAGATCTGGTATGCGTGCTGGCAGTATGGGAAGCTCAAGCCAAGTCGCGGTGTGAGGGCTACCAGATGGCTGTTTACAAAGAAGGGAGAATTTCTAATGATTGTTTTGACGTCAAACTCACCACAGGATACATTCAAATAAGCAGTGGATTTTGCTAATATTACGGCTGAAGACACTCTCTGTGTAACCACGCTAAGCTAATTCCCAAATAATAATTTTTTATGTTTTTGCCGATCTCATTATACTTCTTTTCCCAGGTGACTATAGCGAAAATAAAAATAATTCACTGATTTTTACGAAATCTAACAGAAATTTCAAATCAAAAAATATATATGCTGACGTAAAGAGAAACCAGGTTTTGTCCTTCAAGAGCATCTTTAATGCGGTTAATGTTGTTTCGCTAGTGTGTTACTCCTCTAATACCACATCAGTTTAAACATTGAGGCAATGCAGTTTTCCGCTGCGCATTCATTACCAAACTGGAATCCATGCTATCGTCTGGGAGAACAGAGACTCTTTCCGATCAGTATTTGGAACCTTCTAAGATTTTGAAATATCATTAAAAATTCTAATTTTGATTTGATGCTACTAAGCTACTGGTGAGCAGGTATAAACGCGCGCGGCCATGGCTAACTGGGCGGTGTACCCTTGAAGCTGAACTGCATGGTATTTGCGATGGCAAGTCCAACAAAGAGCTCCCCTGATCATTTTTAGGAGGGTTTCGAACATTCGAACATCTTTAGGAGTGGCGTCGAATAAAATGTCAAGGGTTTTGTTTACAGAGTAATATTGTGTTGATTGCATTCGTAGGAGCAAACTAACGGGACAATGAAAGCTAAAGGTTTGGGTTTATTAGTATTACTTTTAAGATTTATATATTGCTTTTGTTTAAGAAAAAGTCACGGTGGCGACATGTGCCCGCAGTAGCAGGAGATGCGCTAATAATTAACCACGTAAGTCTTGCGTGTGAACACAAAATAGTTTTGCAAGAATAATAATCCAGCTCGAGGATTTAATCGGATTGCATTCGAAAATCCTGATCGTCCTTTTATACCATTTGATTCAACCCGGTTTTAAAGCAAATAACCAGAATACATTCGGTTAAATTCGGATTCTAAATGAACGATTTTTTATGCATGTTTTCTGCAAAAAAAAATAGAGCTTACGTAGTATTTCATTTCTTAAATGTTATGAGCGGCTAGTGATTAGACAAAATAGAAGTGGTCGTGGCCAATCATTTGCCCTTCTATTTTTCAATCGTTTTTGTCGTAATACGCTCAATTTTATTTTAGATATTCAGAGGTTGAAAGCAGGAGCAGCAGCATGTTACCGACAAATTTGGCAGCTTCAACTGCACTGTTCTCGCGAAGAACATACTAGGTAACGCCAAGCGCGTCAAGTTCAGCTCGGACAACAGCAAGTGCCAACAGGACAGGGGAAGATGCTCTTTAGGGACTATGGCTGGACTACCCAGTTGTCATGGCTACTTGGACGATTCGGCCACCATAGAGATCCGGCTGAAACTTGTTCAGATCAATTCGTACTGAAATTGTCGAGTGGACATTTGATCAGCAGGTGAAGGTGCTGGGTCGGATGCCGGAGCCGAAGCTGAGGCTATAATTCTTTTTCAGACCAACTGCTGACCCAGACCCCACCAGCCCAGGCTCAGCACGCAAAGCATCCAGCACGCCGTGGCACAGCGTCAGTACTGTGGTTGCGGTTGGACACCACTAAGTAGCACTCCGATAATGCCGTTGTACCCGACGTGACAACGAATGCGCTGGATTAGGAGAAAGCAGGAGTAACGAACATAATGAAACATCAGTAACCCTCATGCAACTTGAGTAGCAAGTCATGCTTGGAAGGCGTCATGGCCTGGGTATCCACGTCCGCGCTCATGAGTCTGCTAAAGGGCAATGACGGCACCTCGTAGACGTGGAAATTGTCGAGACGCAATATGCCCATCGTGAGCTTGCAACTCGAGACGATCTGACCGTAGCCGCTCGTCGTGGTGATGCTGGCGGCATTGAGTGTTGCGGCCCACGACTCGCGGGAATATCTTCCAAACAGCGGCTAGAACTCGCCGTATATACTTGATGAGTAAACGCACACGAGCGGGCCGTACAAAAGAACAGCTATGAGCTGAACAGTGGGGTCAATGTATGTATGTGGAGATTCAGCGTACGTGCAATATTTTCGTAATAGACTTCATTGTGTTTTTACGCCTACTTATTGGATGCGTACACTACGCCGTAGCATCGAAGCGATTGCAGTCTAGAAACGACTTCAGCTTGCAAATTACGTTTTATTGCCTAGACGCACTCACCGCTGAAATGACAATCTCGCTTGACACTGATGTTACTGTGATGGCCAGGTAATTTTGAGTCATAATACTAATGCGTAGGTACTGCATCGAAACCATAACCCTACCTCTTAGCTCCCGTTCCTTTCGCTTATTCCGTTGGCAGCTAACCATCGCTCAAGCTCCATGTGGAAGAGGTTTTCTGAACAAATCACTTGTCTCCCAAGAGATTCAACGTGTCTTGTCACGCCTTCAACAAGTTCTCTTCCGTGGCAAGTATGACCAGTTGCTAGTGCAACCTCGGTACTGACGAGGGAGGGAGGGGAGGGGAATGCGCTGAGGTAGTGGGGAGTTTATCAAGAGGGACCGTTTTGGGTCAACATTTTCATGACGGACCGTGTTTGGGTCACAGGCATTGTCGCTTGCCATTTAAAAAGGTGTCTATGTCTAGTTAATATTTATATAAAAAAGAACTGGTAATATCCAGTTATATGTATAACGGCGCACATCGTACTACACCTGCGCATTTTGATCGACAGTGAACACTACAATCTTGATACGATGAGCTCCAAAGGGCTAGACTTACTGCGCCCGCATGGACGCGATGCGATTAGGCTACACGACAGCTTTCCTGATTGATAGTAGTGGGCAGCGTTCCTGAAAGATGTCGCTTTTAACAACAACAAGTCCATTAGACAGATAAAATGTGGAAGATAACAAAACGTGGAAATATATTGACGATAATTGTGAGTGGTTCGTGGCCTTGTTATATCGACCAAAACCCAAGACACAAAAGGCGTCAAAGCTCAGTCACATCCCAGCCGAAAGCTGGTTTGTAAGTGAGCTTTGTTTAAAATACAAAGATATTTGCAACAGTACTCGTCAGGCGTCGACCACACAACTGAGGGAGTTAAATGGCTTCAAGGTAGCAATGGTTCAGGGTCTAAGCAGCTCAAAGAGGAGATTTGTGGAGTCGTTGCGTGCAATTAATGGTGTGGATATGGAACATAGATCGGCTTCGATGTACAGAGCTGTCAATGATGAAAAAAGCAATTAGCACCAATGCACAAGCCAACCAGGCATACAAAACGCTTGTTAGCTGGATGACACGCTTCAGTTCAAGGGATAATAATTCGCGTGTTTGTTGCCAATTGGATTCTAGTGGGCGTTTTTTGTGCTTTTCTCTCTATCGGTCACCTAATTGGAAAGCAAGCGTACTCCTGTTTCCGAGTGCGATGGTACACATATAAAAATCCGGGTTACAACGGGATATGTGTCACACTGCTAGGTCACGATGGAAATAAGAAAACCATTCCGCTTGCCGTTGGATTAATTCACAAAGAAACAACTGACAACTTCGCCTGGTTTTTTTTGCGAACTGTATCGCTGCTGGTTTGAACTTTTCGCACTCTCCTATTTTCACAGACAGAGGAAAGCTATTAAACGCTCAAGAGTTGCTCAACCAACTGGGTTTGCACATTCATCTTAAATTTTGCAGTCTTCATCTCGCTTTTAACGTCGCAGATCGATTTCGTTTAGTGGAGACAGAAAAAAACTATAATCCGAGATTTGATTTACAAGTTGTAACGTGCTTCGTCACAACTACAATAATAGGCCGTTGTAGAAGAAATCGAACAAGCATCTCCTGGTTCAATCAATGAAGGGACCGAAGATGAAGAGAAAGTTGCTGATTATATCACTAAAATTCACTTAATCCTTCTAGTCCCTCCACGTATGCTGTATTATACAGCAGTAAGAACAAGCTTAAATCCAGTATACTGGTGAACCTGTGCACAATTTATCTGTTTGTAGCACTCTTCCAGCAATAAAGTCGGACATTCGTTCAGTTTTTGATCACAGCAGTGTCGTGATTGGTTATATTAGTGGGTACATTGAGTGCATAACCGAGGTTAACCACTTGATATATTTATTATCCTCTCATATCTGCTTGCTACGGTGTTTCGCGCCAAAACCAATGGCCAAGAGAACAAACGAGCGCGTTCTTCGCGGAGGAAACTTTTGCCCATTTTTTGTCAATCAAACTTGTGCACAACAACAAATGGGCAAAGTTTCCTCCTCCAATGGTACGTTTACTGGCCTTCATCTACCTCCTCCGCCTTACGCTTTCTAAATCTGATTTTCTTCCTCATGTCAGGCGGGATAATCGTACCGTTTTTCCAGGTAGTGTGCCAGATCTGGTGGCATGTATCGGTGTTTCCGCACTCTTCACGGCGCACCTTATTGCACAGCGCGACACGGCCTCCAAAGGTAAGCCCACACTCTTTGCAGTAGTATGGCGTCTCAAAGCTTCGATGCTGTTTGTCCGAGTACGCGGAGCATACCTTGCACAGGTACTGACGTGGTTTGTTCTTGTAGGTATCAGTGTTTTTTGTCAGCGCGTGAGGCAGTCCGTGTGCTGGTACAGCGAGCAAGTTCTGCGCCTGCATGTTACCTTCAAAGTCAGCCTTTTGCTGTGAAAGAAGCTCAAACTGGAGTCTCGCCATGTAATCTGCGTGGGAAGGTACGGTTTTTCCATTCTCGTTCGTCACGATTTTGTGGACGATAAACCCGTTGACGAGCGCCATGTCTGCTATGCCGAAGAACAGGTTTTTGTAGTAGGACAGGTGACGCAGGGCTTTTTGGATGGAGTAGCGGTGAAGCCTCAGCTGATCATGCTCGTCAACACCCCCCCCCCCCCCCATCCCTTTGTTGTAGGTCCGCACAAGCTCCGGACATTGTACGTCCAAAATGGCATCATCCCCTTTGCGTTTCCGCTGCACGACCACTCGTCGTGTGCTGCAGCCCGTTGCCATGAAGTTCACGACGCGCGAGTCTTTCCAGGACACTGCAACCAGACCAGGTACTCGAGAATTGTACGCAACTCGGTACGCCCCTCGAGGAATCTGTTTTTCTTACTAGGAAACTGAATGCTTCCACTCCAACCCTTTCGATTGACTCTTGTTGTACCAACTGTGTAGATCCCCATTCTAAGTAGCCGCTCTGCAAGCTCTACGCAGGTGTAGTAGTTATCGGTCACCACAAGCCGCTTGCCGGGTTGTCCACGTAACGCCTTCCTGAGGTTCCGAACAACTGCTTTGGAGATAGCGGACTGAGTGTCACGGTAAATCTCTATTCTGTACAATACAGCACAACGAATTAGATATGCTGTATACTACAGTACAAACAAAACAGTATGCTGTAGGAAACAGAATAACCCAGCTCACCTTGAACAGTATGCTGTATCGGCACAGCACACCATGTAGAACTTGGTCCCCCATTTCGTTGGTTTGTCCTTCATGTAGATGCGCATCGGATTGTATTGATGTCTGCTTCCAATCATACCTTCATCGAACGAAACAGTTGAGCCCATACGGTACCCATTGCGAAACGTTTTCTCGACAAACTGAAGAACAGGACGCAACTTCCATGCTTTGTCCTTCTGACGCCGGTTGTTGGAGTTATCATTGAAGTGCAAGAAGCGCGTGATGTCTTCAAAGCGCTTTCGACTCATAAATTTGCCGAATGTTCCTCGCGGAATTGCGCCACATTCACTCGTAGACCAATACGCTCCAGTAGAACGCCGTTGCGGGCATATTACGCGAGCAACAAGTAGTGCAATATAGTGTACAATCTCATGGGGCTGAAATGGCTTCACCTTCCTCAGCGATTCTATGATGTCTTCTAGCGACTGCACTCGACCCTTAGAATTCGTAGCTTGCCGCAGTTGCTGACGTCGTTGCTGCTGTAGGGCGACCGCTTCTAGTGTGGTCTCACGATAGCGATTTGATTCCTCAGCGATTTTCTTCCACATCAGCTTCGGCAGGAAGTAGTAAAAGATTCCGAGAGGGGAATCAGCATATGCACGTGCAGACTGAGTTGGTCCGTATCGCCCACGGTATAGGTCATTTGCTCCATCAACTTGAAACTCTTCATTGTGATCTTCTGTGTATACATTCCAACTTTCTGCAATCATCTTCAGCTCAGTGCTGCCTATAAATTCAGGGTCCGGATGATTCTCTTCCCGTGGACTCCAATCTTCCTCGACGGCATCCTCGTAGAAATCCTCATCGCGTAGGTCAGCATCGTCTACTCCATCTGGCTCAGCATCACCAATTGTCAGGTCCTCTTCGCTGTTCATCACCGCGTCAATGTAGTCTTCAGTGGGAGCTTCGTCAGATTCAATTGACGCATCGCTCTCCGGCTCGGAGTCGCAGAGGTTAGAGTCATCAGAATCGGGGTCCTCAGACCCGTTGCACTTCGCTAATGCTACCATGAACCGGTCGGAGTCGTACACGTTGAACTCTGCCATCTCGTTTCCAACACCAATGTCACCCTTCTCTTCCTCATCGAGATTTATGTTCTGTGGACGGTAATGGCGTCCAGTTTCGGCTTCTGCTGTATCTAGCAGAATACGAGCTCCACTTGTTACAGCTTGTGCTGTATCCGTCAGAATACGACCATCGCTTGTTACAGCTTGTGCTGTATCCAGCAGAATACGACCTTCGCTTGTTACAGCTTGTGCTGTATCCGGCAGCGTACGGGTTCCTGAGCCAAATACCGCCGCTGTATCAGTCATGACAAGGTTGTTTCGAGCTGGATCCACCCGGGGTATCTTCACGAGCTTTGTGCGCCGCGACCGAGGCGCCTTAGCTGGTTTATGAACGGGCTGTGGCTCGCCGTTCTTCCGAGGAACAGCTGCTGCGTTCAGTGAAGCGGCCGGCGGGGTAGAAGCTCTGTTCCCGACACTTGAAGAAGGAAGAGGAGGTGCCGATTCCAGTGCTATTCCAGGGCCACCGTGTGGACCAGTTCTCGAAGAGATAGACGTCGATGGGGTGGTGCACGTAGGGCTTTCCAGCGAGTCCATTGCACCAGCGAGAACATCGAAACGCAGCCATCCCCGAGGTCTTGCGTACACGATGAGCGCGTCTTCATCTCTAATGTAGACTATTGTTAGTAACCCTCTCGTCAGTATCATATATATCTACGGTGTATACCAGTGAAGTAATCAACGCCCTCTTTTCCCCGAACGGTCCCTCCTGGGCGGACGTAGCGGTGATCCTTGTTCAGACCGGTCGGCGGCTTTGGCTTCCACCCCTGCTTACAGAGCTCTCGCCAGAGCTGTTTGAACGGTTTTTCCATAGTGATGGTGGGAGTAATTTAGTGAAGTCGCGACGGGGGGATTTCGAAACTGGGTGGCACGGGATAAAGCAAGCTGGGAAAACCTCTATCCACCCGATAGTGGTCAAGTTAAGCCACACTTACCCCGACAGCCTCGTCGATTTGCGGCAAATCAGTCATCCTTTGGATTACATAACACCCAATACAAATTTGAATATGCGATTTGTTTTGATGTTGAGTTGTTCGCTGATTATTAAAACCTCCTATAATACTTCTGCTGTACAATACAGCATACAGGACTAGAAGGGTTAACTAATTGGACTAAGCTGGGAAACTTCCAACCAACCCCATCTGAAGTTGAATGGTATAAGTGCAAATGGCCCGAAACTCCAACGTTTGGCGATGCCAAATCGCTATTTGGAATTAGAACCACAAGTAGTATCGAACGTTTGACCAAAGTTTTCAAACTCTCCGGACTTCGGGATAGCCTGCCCTGGAAAAATTCTGCCACACTGTCTCGAAGATAGTATCTTCAAATAGTGACGAGTGCGCGAATTGAATCAAACAGGGTAATAACGCGAACTTCTTTCGCGTCCGAAAAGTTCGAGAGGGAGAAAATAAGACAGACAACATTTTCGTACAGAAGCAAAGCAATACACTTTTTGTGGTCCACAAAACATATCCAATGCGTAGTAGCTCCGACAGTGGCTCTATTCACGCAACTAGAAAATTTGAAGTGGATATTGCGACACATACGTGTAGTCGATGTAAAGTGAAGGAGCATATGACAATTCCCTGTCGCCACATACTAGCAAGTTTACAATTTGCCGTGACACGTTGTGGGTTAGTAACACTGTTTTTTTTCCTGGTTATATACTGACTACGTACCAAGCATTATACAGAGATGCAGTAATTATGTTTCCCTTGGAGTGTGATCTTAAAAAAGATACCACAATTCGGCCTTCACCAACTTACCGTCAAGCTGGTAGTAGATCCATGGTCCCTCGGGAGCGAGCTGATACTGCTAAACGGCAAAAACGCATCCCCAATAGAGGGGAAAGTCGTTCGGACATCAGCGTGTGGTGAAGTGACAGTTGGCTTCGGTGAGCGAGGGGCTGATGGATGGGATGTGACCCGATCCAGTCCCAGGACTCATGGTCGATGACGACGCGTCAAGTGATTACGTCATCACCGACAAGATTGCGCAATCGTCCGAGCAGATCGACATGGTGTAATCATTTCGATATATGATTTACTTCCAAAGGAGTCGATCTACTGTTGACGCATCAACTGATTTGTACCCATGGTAATTATCACGCGACCAGGCCAAAGAAGGGATAGTAGGAGCATCTATGGGATGGGCAGAAGGTAGTGGACCGCTAGGAGTTAAAGGAATAACATAGTGGAATTTGCCTTATATTAAGAACAAGTGTCTTCGGTACAAGATTTGAAAGCTGTAGCGGGAAGTATACATATTAGCCAATACAGTAATCAAGTTATTTCAACCAGATACACGTGTCAGTCGCCGGAGTTTGCAGCTTGGCCGGTCGATCGTCTTTACTCTCACCCTCAATTCCTCCGCTATAGGGAGCGGTCAAGCCTCGCAATGAAAGATACTAGACCCCCCCCCCCTCAGTAAAGGAATAACACACCCCAAGTCGATCAAGATCGACGAGTTACCTGGCGCGTATCCTGAAGAGTATCCACGCTATGCCACCCCCACCATCCTGCGTCCCGCCAAGACGGAGCCAGCCCGCCAAGCTTCCCTTCAAGTCCACCAGAGGAGCGTAACCAGCCCCGCCGACGGGTACCCAAGGTGAGCCCTCAGCAACCCCACGGTTATCGGAGTACCCCCTCCGTTAGTCGGTAGTCCAGGGCACTGTGTGTCAGAGTGGATCGCAACGTGATTTTGCGACCCCACTCCACCTCAAGTGATTCTAGGACGTCGACTGGTGTTGTGAGCAAAAACATTGAAAGTTCGCTACAGAGTTTCTTTTCTGATGACATTCGTGGTCACACACCATCTATTCGAAAACAAAATACCAGTGCTCTGTATGTAAATCTGTGAAACACAACGCATCTAGGTGCACTCATCGTACCGAAGAGAGAGAAAGCGCCGGGGAGAATATCCATTCTGGAAGATATGTCGTAGGGAAAAGCTCATTTGTCTGCGGTGTGGCTCATTTATGTAATTCGTAAAATAGCATTTGATGAACATACTGATTACTAAAAGGGGGGGGGGTAGCCGACTTCACAATAATAAAACAACAACTCTATAATTAGCTTATTTCTGGTCTTCTCCGTACAGGAACAAGGACGCAAGATGTAAAAGCTACATTTACTGCAGTATTCCGTGCAAAACTCTGTTAGGATTCAAACCTACTACAATGGCATGCTAAACGTAGGACGTATTTCGAGCACAGAGGGTTTAAATGAGTATATGATGCTTCTAGTAATGAAATTGATGTCACCTATCACGTTGCAATATGTTAACTTGCCCACAATAATTCATGTCGCCCTACCTTAGATGACTATGGCAGCTATCTAGACACAGGCAACTTTTTAAATGGCAAGCGACAATGCATATGACCCAAACACGGTCCCTCTTGATAAACTCCTTGAGGTAGTGCTCATTGAATTTACGCTGGACTTCTTTTTTTACTTGGTTAACGTCGTCCACAAGGTCATGGAGGTGCAGCTTTGCCGGGGATCAAGAAAATTGCAATTCGCGAATTTTTCGTGTTGGCTACCTTGACGAATTCATCTATCTTCGCCAGTACTGCATGGGCGAAAGCGAGAGTCTGTGCGTCCGGGAATTGCTCATCGTCTCCGATGCATGGATTTCGATGTGATATACAAGAAGTAACATCGAATAAGTCGACCCTGGTAACATATTCGTCACTTCCGTAAATAGAAAAGAGAAAGTAACAGAATGTCTACATGGTTGTCCACTTGCTTTCAGCAATATTTGGGCGAGTACGCCAGTTGGCTTGATGGAGAGCTCTGCGTATCCTGGTAGTTCTTTTCTCGGAATCGTCAAAGTAGTACATTTATAGAGCATTTTAAAGTGATAAGGCTGTTCGGCATCGCCCACGTGCTGTCACGAAATCCAATTTCGTTGTTATGTATTTGTGCATACCGGAGTGGTTACTGCAACCTTAAACATGAGACATGTAAGGTTGCTTTAAGGACTAAAAGTTGCTTTATTTAATTAAAAAAAGGAACTCTAGCGTAAAATGGTTTTCAAAACTTACGTGACCTCTTAAGTTCGCCTACTGGTATTAAGTACACAGTTACCGTAAATGATTTCCTGAATCGTCAACTCTGAACAGTCCATTTCCAAAATCCGAGTAACGAGGTCGACACGTGGCATAGGCGACGCTACAGGACTCGTTGTACACGGGGACGAATACAGGCAATACATAGCGTGAAGAGCCAGCAGGGTCACGACGTGGGAGAAGAAGGGGCGTTGGCTTACATGAGCAACAAGCTATGAGACTTTGACCTCGATATCTGTTAACTAGTACTGTGGGGTTGGTGTCGTAGGCCGACGCTTACGAAGCGAGTCCAGGGGCAGTGATGCGCCACACTACGCTCAACTTACACTCAGTATCGAGAAGCATTATTCCATTGATGAAGATTTTACTCCAGGCGACGAAGGCGCCATCCTCCAAGAGAGTTGAAAAAAAAAGATATGCTGTATCACACTAGCGTGAAGACATGTTCTAGCTTACTGAGTTTGTATGCATCGAGTATGTGACCATTTATCTCGTAAAAAAGTGGAAGAATGGCCGTGTAGGAAAACCGGACGATCTGGGGGAACACGCAAAACGTTGAGTACGTTTATCATTCAAACTAGATGTTGTCACGACTGCCAAGTCCCTGTACGGTTCCCGCACGACAAAGTTGCTGTATAGTTACCGTACGCTAAAGTAGCTGTATGGTTGCCGTATGACTATGAAGTCATTAAATGATGATCAAGAATGGTTTTTGATTGCCGGATCTGACACAGTATTTAATGTTTTGCAGATTTCAAGACAGCGACAAATACGATAAGTGACCAGGGCAATAACAAGCGATCACGATCTCCCACAGATGTCGAATCACTGCGTACGAAACTTAAGAAGCCTCGAAGAACAACAATCAAATCGGCCTGATATTGTGGAGATATCGAATAAAATGCAGAACGTGGATATGACAAGAAACTGGAAAGCGCGGAAAGTGGCGAGGTAGTGGAGAGTGAAGAAAGTAACGTGACAGTGGAGAGCGTGGAAAGCAGCGAGATAGTGGAAAGTGTGGAGGCGTCGAAGAATGTGGAGAGTAGAGTCAGTGCGTCGTGAGATTGAGGAGAGGGAGGTGGACAAGCATGCGTCGAAGTGTAAAGTGGATAGCGTGAAGAGTGCCAAGAATGTGGAGAACACAAACACTGTCGAGAGTGTGGGAAGTACAGAGAACGCGGAGGGCGTGGATACAATGGCTAGCAGTGAAAAATATTTCGATGAGTACAAGCTACGCGAGCGAGCAAACCAGCATATTGGTGAGGTTGCTACTAAGGCAGAATAGCAAGAAAAAATTGTGAATATCCCCATTCCCAAAGTACCGGTGAAGGTGTGGGCGGCGTTTGACATGATAGTCGCATCCTATACAAAAAGCCTCAATCTCCATTTCTGTGTTCGCAGTTCGTAGTCTTCGGCAACATACAACAAATGGGTGCATTAAAAATATGGATTTTAAATATTCAGAATATCTAACAAGCATTAACATTTTTTTTATTTGTAGAAACCTCGCCGATGAAATACATGCAAGTTTTCGTTGTATCTACAAAAAATTCCGCTGTACGCACGGTGGTTCACAAAAATGCGCTGTCTACTGGGCAGCGCAATCGCAAAGCCCGATACTGTCGGGGCTTGGCGCGCTTCACGCCGACTGTGATAAATGTAGACGACGGAACATAACATTTTTTATCAGAAATGAGGCATGTTACGTTTTGTTTTCCGAAACTTATTGAGCCTTTAACATGTGTTTCCTTTTTTTACATATAGAATTACACCCACTCTCATCTCACCACCCGTGCAGATGCTGCATCATACATGACAACTATTGTGCTTTGCACATGTTTTGACAAAGGAGGGGTATATTTCTTAGTTATAAAAACTCTATTTTAAATAGTAAATAGGTTTTATGGTTTTTGATTACAACTAAAACTCTGTTTTCAGTGATACACATCGCAGAATTTTAGAAACTACGGACAGAATTAGAAGCACAAGAGTCAGAAATGCAACTGCAACAGTGCAATTCAGAGCTGTCGTCTCTCCCAGGCGACTTGTACTCTCCACTGTTCTTCCACTTAAGGTTTCACTTCTCAACTCTTTGTCAAACAGTCAGTCAAGTCGTTCATCCCCATGGCCTATGGAGCTGACTATCGGTGGCGTGCCATCTCGCTAATGCATGTGTACGGACTTGACGTTGACTTTATTAGTGATAGATTTGGTCCGAAACCGAGAGCAATATTTCGCTGGTACAGCTTATTTCTGGAGAAAGGAGTCGTACAAGAGAACAAACCGCCGTCAAAACCGGCACGGTGGTCACAAGCAGTGTTACAAGCTGTTGAAAACTACGTAAAAATCCATCCAACGTTTTATTTAGAGGAGCTTCAAGACTTTCTTCGTGATAACTATCCAGACGTGAAGAATATTTCACTGTCTACAATTTCCCGCGCTCTCCATTTTGATTTGGGCCTCACTCGTAAAGTAATCACTCGGGCAGCAAGAGAAAGCGTTCCTCTCGAGGTAAGATTTTATTTTAAATCTTTACACTGCGTTCATTTACTAAACATGTTTTGTTTGTTTGCTTTGATTTAATAGGTTGCTAACTACAAAGCAAAACTTCATGCAATTTATTCGAATTCTCAACAGCTAATGTTTATTGATGAGACGTCAAAGGATGGCCGCCATGCTTACCGTTGCTATGGTTGGTCAGCACGCAATACTAAGTGCGTTGTTTAGCTTCCATTC